TCGCTGTCCCGGCGCCGCAGACCGGCTTGCTTCCTGATGGAGCGGAGGGCCTGATCATCCTCTTCGCTGTCGTAGCTCTCCCGTCTGACCTTGTACTTGGCCCGTCTCTTCTGATACTCGCCCACCTTGTCGCCGGGGCCGATGGTAGAGAGCGCGCTGGATTTGAGAAACAAGTAGAGCCCGCCCGTCATCAGGCCGGACACATTCGCCACCACGGCTCCCACCATGCCAAGATTGAGGGCATTGGGGTCCCCCGGCGACTGCTCGACAAAGGACAAGACAAAGAAGAAGGGAATGGAAAAGGCCTGATCAGGTCAGCGGCGAGGTCAGGCATCTGGGGATATCTCGGAAACTCACAGTTGAGATGGCGGCAAGAGCTAGATAGTAGACCATCCTCGACGCATTCACCCGCGCCGTCACCTCGACCTTGATGCTCTTGTGCAGCTTGACAAAGATGATGACAGCACACGCCAAGAGGGTCGTGACGATGACGACCAAAAGGATGAAGCATCCCATGGCATACTCAGCAACAAACCAAAATAGCGACAAGAGGCACGTATTCTTGGCCCGTTGAAAGTTGGCCACGAGGAAGGTCGTCAGCGTCAACAGGCCCACTTTGGTGAGGCATATCGACACGGTCCATTTCGCTCGGGGCGCAAACGGTTGATCTTTTTGGAACGCCCGCACCGCGATCTCGACGCCAAACACCAGCTGGATGTATGGAACCAGAAACAAGGCTGTGGAGAGTCAACAACCGCTTTTCCCTAGGGGGGGGGCTGATCTTCGACGTACCAGGCAACACCATTTGTGAAAGCAACGTGCATCCTTCGCCGAATAGTTTTTCGAGACCAGTCGACTGAGCAACGGCGAAGGTGATGCTTTGCACCACAATACCAAAAGACAGCACCAGCGGGTACACCTCGCCCTCGGGGACGAAGGAGAATCCGTGTCGCCTGCAAGACATGTTAGCTCTCCCCGGTGCCAGGCAGCCAGCCTCCAGCCCTCCAAGAGCACGTACTGAAGACTAAAGTTCCGGACGTTCCGCTTCTTCCTAAAGTACGACTCGATCAAGATGCCCATGGCCGTCGCAAACGCGGCTATCGCGTTGAAGGCGGCGAGGATGATGGTCGAGGTTCGGATCGACCGGGCGGCGGCGAACTGAAAGTTGTTGACCTGCATCTGGCGCGAGGGTTGAAAGGTTCGGTTTGTGGACGCCTGGAACAACCGATTCCCAGAATTGCCAAAGTTCCCTTGCCCACCGGCAACAAAATCCCTCGCTCCCAACCAGCCAAAGATGCCATCGTTTCCGTGTAGAGGTGACATGAAGGGCGATATTGCTGGACAGCCTGGCGATGGCGATGAGGCGTAGCAGTGCCCTCGGTCCACGTCGTCGTCGTCGTCAAGTCATCTAAAGGTAGTCGTCGGATCTATCGTGCGTCGTTGGCCGGTGTGTGGAACAGAAGGTAAGGGGAGGGAGGGAGAGCGTAGCTGGCGGGGAGGGAAAGGCGAGGGTGTAATGGCAAAGCCCTTGCGGACAAAGGCGGGGAGCAGGCCGGGGGATGGGGCAGGGGTATCACACGTCGTAGCTGGACCACGGACCAGACGAAACAGCCCGGTTCCTCGGTTCAGTATTGGCTGCGATAGTGAAGAGTGTGTACGTCTGGCCGGGTGCAGAAACAGGGACCAGGGTATGGGGATGGGGGGGGAGGGGGGGGGGGGGCGAACGCGATGACGAGAACAGGCCTGGCAAGCATAAAGTGCGGCTGGTAGCGGGGCCTCTTCCAGAAGAACCGCAAGACGGGATGCATGAAGGAGAGACAGACACGGTGTGTTGCTAGGCCCTGGTCCACTCAGTATGGCCGGCGTGGTGTGTCTGTGGGGAGACATAGGTCCCCGCGCGGGCAGGACAGACCCGGCCAGGGATCAGGCCTCGAGTATATCCACTTGTGGGCGGTGCTCTACGAGAAGAAGACGTGAAGGGGGGCTCGGGGGAAGGCGATGAGGGGGCCCAGATGCCGACCAAGATCTCTTGGCGGAGACGGGAGGCGGCCGGCGGTGCCATGATGCAGCCGGGGTGCATGAGTTGACTGCTGGGCGATGGCAGAGAGGGAGAGGGATCTTGGAGAACGCGGGGCCCGTGCTTCAGATCGCGACCCCAAGTTTTCTCATTTTCTCATTTTCTCGTGAGACAGACGAGACGAGGACCGCCTGGACCAGTCAGGACGGTGCATGGGCATTGATCCGATGCTGGGAAAAAAAGAGGCCCGAGTGGGCTTGGCAACGATTTTCGGGCAAGGCGACAGCCAGAGTGGAAAAGAGTCGCACTCTTTGGCGTGCGAGGGGCTGGTCGAGGAGGGAGACGAGGTTCGAAGGCATTGTCGCGACGTGGGGTTGAGGCAATCTTGTGACAGGACCGAGTTTCGTCGTTGAGCTCGAGACCCTGAGACACCTCCAGGGGCCTGTGCGCCCTGTTGGAGAGCTGTCCAGGAGGGGCAAGGCGTCTTAGCGACAGGGGGTGCCCATGTTGTGCATCAAACTCCAAACTCCCCCGCACCCAAGGGTCAAAGGGTCCTCTTTCAACCTCACCTCACCTCTCAACTTATCCTCAAGCTCACCCACCAGCAGCACCACCACGCCACCGCACCAAAATAGTCGCCCACAGCCCCCAGGTCGTCATTCGCTGCCCTCCTACCCTCTGCTTTGTGATCTCCATCGCCCATTAGCCTGTGACATCAGGGATACAGCCGTTCGTCGTACAGACAGCTGCAGTCGCGTCCAAGAAGCCAAAGTATTTGGAAGACGACGTTCATCATGGGTGGGCGAACGAACTTTGGCTTTCTTTTTTTACTCATCGTCTGCAATGCCACCGATCACATTCATCTATTCTACAAATAACCTGCGCATCAAATTGTCTCTCTGCCAAGACCACGGATTGCCAGCTCTCGCGATCGAGACCCTCACGGCCCTCAAGGCTCGTTCAACCCAACCTGACGCTGACGACAAGAAACACTCGGTGAGCAGCGCCGAGTTTCCGTCACAACGCCACCCAGAACCATCCAATACGATATCCCCAACCTTAAATGAGAAACCTATGCTATGCGGAGCCAGAAACGTTCACCGGAAACCCCGCCTGCCTCTGATGCCGAAATGCCAAGGACTGCCCAGGTAACACCAGCTGCGCTGCTCCCCAGTCTCTCCCCCCCCCATGCCTCGGATCTTCCATGGGGGAACCTGGTGGCATCATAGTTCGTCCCCTCTGCCCTTTGATACGGACCGCGTCTCAGACTCCGGATATCTCTTCTTCCATGTCAAAGAGCCTGCCACCATCACACCTCGCCGCTGCTGGCACCGTCATATCGTCGTTGATCACCTTTGACGAGCAGAGATCCCCCAGACTCGCCAGCAAGGCCGACGATAAGACGAATGGGATGTGGCACACATCGCAGCAGGGCGATTGGCCTGTTGCCTGCTCGACCCCCGTTGCCTCCATGACCCCATACTCAGCACCATGATGCCTTCAATGTCAAAAGAAGCAACACAACATCCCAATCAACACCCCCCAAGAATAACAATCCGACCGGACATGTTCGATCGACGGCTTACAACCTCGGAGATATATTATCGCCCGTGAACCCCTTATCTTCCGCCATCCCATCATCAAACAACCATCCAAACGTCCCCACCACAACGCGTAGATTTCCTCTGACGGCGGAAAGGGAAGAGCCCGCCACCCAGCAGCCCCACACGCAATATCTGTAGGGAGAAGGGAGACTGGACCTTGATAGCCCCGAAATGAATAAGAGCGTCTCCGTCCGGGGACGTCTGGGCGGTGATCAACATGCTCCACCATTGACGACGGCGCTCTCCGCCGACGTTTGCATGAAAGATGGCAGGCCCCGATGAATAATCGCATCTGCTGCTGTTCTTGTCACGCCACGCCGGAATGCATTGCCCTCCCACCAGTACTGAACTCATCTAAACGACGATGCCCTCTCGCTCGCTCGAGCTGCATAACGAGTTAGCGCGTCCATACCCTAAGAACTCACCATTCCCGCCCCACGCCACCATGCCGCGCGCAAATCCTGTCCTTCCCTCTCCCGTCCGAAATCCAAATACCAGACCCCTACCTTTTACCAGGCCAAGAAGACGTTTAAAGCACTGCCTGCCCACTTCTCTATGCCGTCCGTCCGCCCGTCTGTCCCGCCTGGAAACGTATGTCCTACCTATGAAGACGGGCAGCCCGCGTTCTCAGATAGATGAAGGGCATGTTGCCACTCCCCGGTGGCGACACCCGTAGGTTCTGGCATTGTCGGTTGTCCCGTCGTCGTCGCTGTCGCCGTCGCCGTAGTTCTCCCGTGTCTTGCCTGCCGTTGTCTTCGTCTTGAGCGTCCGTGCTGTTCTGGTGGTCTGAATGGCGGGTTGTTATCTGTCGATAATGCGCTGCCGACTTTGCCGTTGCCGATTGCCGCTTGTCGGCGATATCCGTGTGGCCGTTGTGGTGTGGCTGGTGGTGTCGAGAGAGGGTGTTGGATCGTAAATGTTTGGGCTCGCGAAAGTTGTTGTCAATGTCGATGTCGATGGCGAGACGACGCTGAGCTGGATTATAGTTTGGACGGGAAGCAAAAATACAAGGCCCAAAACTCAATCTGCTTCGACAACATACACCGAGTTGGTTGTAACTTAGCTATGCACAGGTGCCATTGGCGACGACCTGTCCTAAAAAAATGTAGGCGTCGTCGAGCTTCGCTGCGATGACACGTATGCCTGGCGAGAGCACTGGCAAAAAGACAAGCTTGGGAGAGATGGGATTTGAACCCATGGCCTTAGGAACCGAGCACGCTGACGTAGGTCTTTAGATTTAGAAATCACAGAATGCAAGTTCGCTACGCTCTTACCGCTGAGCTACCCACCCTAGGACTGAATGTTGAAAGGTAGGGGAAGTGTCCCTACCTGTGTCCTGCGGGGGGGGGGGGCAGTCCTGAGAAGCAAAAAGACAAGGTTGGGAGAGATGGGATTCGAACCTATGACTTTAGGAACTGAGCATCGCTGAGTAGATTTTTAGGTATAAAAGCTCAGAATGCAAGTTCGCTATGCTCTTGCCACTGAGCCACACCCCCTGGACTTTTAACTTATTGTTGGAGTATGGGGTTAGTGTTCCTGCTGCGCGGAGAGGGAGAGCGACGGAAGTGTTGGCGGCCTGGGATTCGAACACAACACTTGACACCGACCGGCAAGGCACAAGACATTTGAGATCCATAGGAAGACACCCGAGATCAAAGGTATGTTCAATATTTGTTCGATTCCCACGACCGATTCCCACGACCGATTCCCACGACCGTGGAGTGTTGGCCCCGAACAGTCGTCCTCAAATAACCCGGATGGAACGATATTTGACCCTTGTAATTACCTCCTCGTCAACGCGCTATACATCAAAGAACATTGCCCATAACCTACCCAAAACCCAAAAATCGACACCCAAGGAAATGCCACCATTTTGACCAACATCCCCTCCCTGACAGCCCGACAACCTGGAGTTCAGCACCTCGAGAACCCCGCCACAGCCCCCCCTCCCCCGCCTAGGTGTCCTTCTTCGCAGCCGACCGCACCGCGCGCACCCGAAACGCGTCAAAGATATCCGTCGATGAAATGTAAATCGCGTACAGCGGGCTAAACACCCAGAGCATGTTGAAGAAGACGAGGTAGACCCAGAGGTACATGAAATTGCTGGTGTCGAGATTGAGGTTGCCCGTGAGCCACTCCGGGCAAAAGGTCATGAAGCCTGTGTGTGTGTGTGAGTGATTGAGCATAGGAAGGGGGTGGAAGGCGGGGACATACCGCCGTAGAGCTCGGCCGTGGCCAGAATGATCATGAGGATGTTGGCGCGGGGGTTCTTGCGCGCAAGGTCGAAGCACACCCAGACGCAGAGGGGTCCGACGACGAAGACAGTGAGGAGCTCCAGGCTGACGACACCCTGTAGTGAAGACGAATCAGTACCATTGCTCCCAAATACAACAGGGGAGGACGTACCAAGTCAGCGCCTGCCCATCGCTTGTCAGCTCTGGCATAGACCATCCCTAGCAGCACAGAATTAGCATCATCGTCGACACTCGGAAAACAACATCTCGACCCCTCTCTCCGCCCGTCATCTCGAACCCGCAACTCCCACCGCCACCGCCCCCATTTCCAAGACGTCCCCACGCTCGTTTAACACCCCTCATCCCCCTCATCAATCCCCCAACCCAAAAAAATCGACCACACGAAACAACTCCAGAGAGACCAAAAACTCACAAAGCATCGCCATCGGCCCCTCCACCCCATTAACAGCTCCCGCCTGCGCACCGTGTACCATCCCGCTCGTCCCCAAGAACCCCTCGGGATCGGGGTGATACACATCGCTCATCCCACCGGCCTCCTTGAACCCCGCCAGGTCCGCGACCGAGAAGAAGCAGTGGTACAGAAAGCTGCCCTCGAGGCAAAAGTGGATCATGGCGTCGAAGGCGTGCCACACAAAGAGGAAGCGCAGCTGCGAGGGCGTGCGGTGGTCCAGGAGGTGCTCGGCGAGGCCCCAGGCGGACAGGACCATGACGAGCACGGCGCCGAGGGAGACGAGCGTCGTCGTGTCGGTCAGCTCGGCGGGGAGCGAGTCGAGGAGGGAGGACATGGCGGCGGGGAGACAGACAGACACGATGCGTCTACTTGCGATGATGGATTTTCAGTGTTGGTAGGCAGAAAGGCAACTGATCTAGAATGATTGGAGATGAGGTGAGCCGCCCATGAGATTTGTTGACGAGAGCTGTTGTCGTCGCATCGCATCCCGGGTACTCTGCCGGCGAGGTCTGTGCGCAACACCGACAGCAGGGGCGACGGCGGGGTGAAACCCCCCCCCCATGCTAAGCTTATCCGGACATCATCACTTTTCAACGGCAAAGGCATGGCACCCACAATCACTTGGCAAATGGCACCATGTGTTAAGGAAAGCGGTCGTGAATTCGATTGCTGCTGCAAATCGTCGTGTCGGGTATGTAGGTCAAAGTACAAGTCCCTCCCCATGTGTCCTGTAAACCCCCGAAAACTCCGTCCCGTCAATCCTCTGCAGAATGTCCCATGTTGACGCCAGCCCTGTTGTGTTCCATCAAGCGGAATGCTCGCGAGATTTCAAAGGTCGATCATGACTGAATGCCGGGATGTCTTGAAGAGGCGATTTAGTGGGTAGCCTTCTGCTTGTTGGCCTCGGCCGAAGCGTCGTGCTTGGTCTCGTCAATCTTGTCCGAGACGGCGCTGCCCGCGGCGTGGAGGCTGAGGTGGATGTGTTAGTTTTGGGAAACCCGTGACTGAAGATGGGTTTGCTTACCGGTCACCGGCAGCGACGTGGCTGTCCTTGGCGACGTTCTTGTTGGCCTCCTTGGAGGCGGTGGCTCCGGTGCCCTGGATCTTGTCCGAGACGTAGTTGCCGGCGTTCTTGATGGTCTCCATTTTGATGGTTGGGGGTTGTGTTTTGAAAGGTTTGAAGTTGTGAAGTTGAGTTGGCAGTTTGATGAGTGCTTGAGTTGCTTGATGATGAGAAGAAAGGAAGGTTGTTGGAGGAGGGAGGGAGGGCAGTATTATATAGGCAATCTCCTATGGATCCGGGCCCTCAATTGTTTGCTTGAAAGGCAGTCACCTCTCCTCCATCCTAGGTTGTTGCCCTGCGAGCAGCCTGTGGAGGGGCCACGACGTCATAGGCAGTTTGGTCTCATGGAACTGCGGATGGGGCTGCAACTGGCACCCCACACCAGCTGCAGCGAACCAAAGCGCCCCAAATGAGCCGTAGTGGATGGCATCAAAGGAAGAGGTGAAGGTGCGCTTGCCTGTTCCCATCATCAAAGCCCCGCCATGCGCAGGCTGCCACAGCCAAAGTCGCCCATGACGTCATTCAGGACCTCCACTGTATCAGATGTAAAGTACACAACGGTTCTCCACAGGTGCATACACTCCCCAAAGCTTGACATCAGGTGCCCGGTCTAGGCCCGCAAGAAGCCGAATGGCAGGTACAAAGGTACCGTCGACGCAATTCCCCTGCAGAAACCACCAACCATGGCTGTTACGTGATTCAATTAGACTCTGACAGCACTGCAAGCACTTATCCAGAAGCCTCTACCCCTGAAAAGCAACATTGTATTCTTCGATCAGCGAAATTGCACTCTCTGGGCGATGGACTTTCGCATGTCCTCCATGGGATTGTTGTTTGTCGCTGCCACGGGGAATTGCGGTGGTGGAGTGGACATTGAAATCCGATCTCCGAAAACGGGAAAGCGCATCAGGCCCCGACACAAGCATTGGCAGTGACGCAAGGGTGAGTCTTTCTGCAGCCACGGCGCAATCCTATTCGCCAGATCTTGCACTCCGCATGCGGAATGACGAAACCACTTCTTCGTGGGGTAAGCCGCAATGTTTCAGGAGGGGTGTTGTTGCCGCGGCTGCCAACGACGGCGAACCTCTCATGGCAGGTGCAGTGCGAGAATGCCATCTCGATCGCCGATGGCTATCAGATGATGTGATATATCGACATGGATAGGCCGTCGTTGCACCCTGCGCCCAATCCGGGAAGCCGCGGCGGCACCATGAATCGACATCATCGTCCCACACCAACGGCTCCAAAGGGAAGAAAAGTCGCCGAGGGCCTTCCGGCGTGTTGCTCAGTTGAGCATGGGGAAATGGGGCCAATGCGTCTCTGAGCTTGCGCAGGACCTTTTTCACTCAGTTGAGCCCACAGAGACCGGCGGGGTTAACGCACAAGTCCCATTGTTTGGTCAAAAGAAGAGGCGAACATTGGCTTGTTGGCAAGGTTGGAGAATCATTTTCCTTCTTACTGCTGGTTGTTCTACCTTGGCCGCTGAGAGTTGATGAGAGGTGCCCATGGTGACTTGGCCATCGACCCAGCTTGTCTCCAGTTCCAAACCTACTCTTCTAACTGCAGGCCCCCGGGGGATACCATCTCAGCTAGCATGAAGCCGGGGCTGCATGACACTTGCAATGGCGCAATTCAGAAAAATCCCTCCATAAGGTACCTTTGTCACTAATCGATCACGATGGCATCACGAGCAACTGCCGAGGCGTTGCTTCTCATCCGCTTCCTTGAATCTACTTCCTTGACCTCGATCCAGCGACGCCATCCTCGATCCCCCATGCCCGATGCATCACAGCCTAGAAACCATAGAGAGTCCACTCGTATTCCTCCTCCGCTCGTACTACTCCGCTCCTAAGCAACAAAGGCCTTGTTTAACCCGGTTCCGTTCGGCTTCCCCGTCCGGTCCTCGCCTTGGTGGCACAAGTCACGAGGCCTTCGACATGGAGAATCCCACTTCTCCCTTCCCACACGCTGGATGGGGTATCACCTCACCCCTCTCTCGTGTGGATTGTGTTGGCAAAGATCTGTATCATAATACAAACCTCGCCGGGCTCCTCGGATGATTGTTCTGGTACGATACTTATTGCCCACCGGAGTCGGTCTTCTTCTTTCCAACTTCGCCTTGATACCATTTCGCACACGGGAATCATGACTGGACCCAAAGACAACCAGGAAGGGAAAGATATTGCTGGCCTGGTCTTCTCACTGCAAGGGACAGGTTTTCCAGCTGGAGGCTTGTCGATGGTTCAAGTCCATGTCTATCCCGTTCAAGTCTTCTTGTGTTGCAACTGCCCTCGACCTGGGCCTTCCAACACCAAGCGTCAAGAGATAACAAGGTTGGATGGATAGGGGGGAAAGATGTTCCTGCGCCACAAGGTCAGTGGCCAAACAACGTTGACATTCCGGTTGGCGGAGAACCTTTTTCTAGACCGCGAGCCTCATCTTCATCCAGAACGGGGCACTATAGCATCACTGGCTTGTACGGAACAGTTCAGGCCGACTGTTCGACACTCTTTGGCCAGCCATCGCCATCCGGAGGAAGAGTTGAACCTGCCTACCCTGGCTTCGATCCGAAGGTTTGAAGCCCCCTCCCCTCTCATTCGGCCCTTCAAGTGGGAGACCTCATCTTCTCCTGATGCAATGCGAAGCCGATCCTCATTGGCGACATACTCTCGGGGTCCTCGCATGTTGACCTGGAGTAGTCGCGACGGCTCGTATTCCCACGACCGGGTTTATTGACCACTTTCATGGAAAAGTGTCTCACACTGGAGCGTAGAAAAGGGGCTTGTCAACACTGGACCCCTGTCACCACACTGCCACGGCAACACCTCCACGCCCAAAGCCCGGCTCCAGAATTCCTTTTTCGCCAGACACCACATCACAACTCTCTCGCCTCCATACTCGGAAATGTCAACTCTCGTAGGAGAAGTCGGGTGGCGGATGTCACGTGCTCCTTGGGCATCACCACTGACAACGCATCCCCAACCCGAAGCCAAACGAAGGTAATGTCATTGCCCGATCAACGGCGAGCCCGATTTGCCCCCCCACGTTTTGGGAACCAGTGCGTGTCGATGGTGCGAAGTTGGGAGCGGTTGTCGACGAGACGAGATCGAACGTGGCGCTCGCGATTGGGAGATGTCGCGGGGCAGTCGTCTGATGAGTGGAAACGTCGCAAGTAGCCGCAGAAAAAAGATATTTTTCTAGCGTACCTGCGGCGGCATCGTGCCTGATATGGGTCGACATGGCATCTTGCAGCTTTGGATGAGGGCGCTGGGCATGGACGCTTCTTCCTGGCGTTTGCAGCGGCTCGGGAGGACAAGAGCTGTGACCACCAAGCAGGGACAGCCGTACAACAAAAGACAGGCGAGACGAGATGGCACGTGCGCAAGCTGGCTTCCCCGCGACGGCATCGGCATTCATCTCGTCGTTCCCCTCACTTCACCGCCCCTCTGCAGGGTCGTGCAATGCAGGGAGGGGGCAGAGGGGTAGAGGCGCGAAATCGATTCGGGAATTGAGAGACAGAAAGTCTAGAGTTGCCGGGAGACTGTAGAACTTAAGCGTCAACTCAATTGTTTTCCTGTAACATTTGCGATTTGTTCGCCGCGCTTCTCGAACCTACCAGAAGGCTTCGCTCCTTGGGCAGAACCTAAACCTGCTGAGTGGTGCCCTGCGTGAGCCTGTGAAACCCCCAGCCCAGCACACTGCGTAGTGCCTGCGTCACCACCAGTCACCACCTCATGTCCCCAGAATATCCGATAGGCCCGCCGTCGAATCTTCTACAAGCTCGAACGACTGGAGGTCGACCACACCACTTTGCTGCCAAGGCATTTTACAGCCTTTGTCTCTTCGACTCGCGACACCCGATTGCGGGCTTCCTATTCTTCTTCAATCTGTCTCTGCAATTGCAACTCTGAAGCTGAGAAGCCCACTATCTGCACTTACCTCCAGCCGGCCACTTTCCCCGTCTGCGACGGTCGTGACCAGAGCAAACTTTGCTTAGGGAGCTCCCTCGAGCAGACACCAGCACCACCCATCAACCAAAGGGCAGTAGCTCCGTCACCTGTTCTCCCGGTCATTTGATCAGGACCATCCCATCTACCTATATTCCACCACTATCCAGTCCTTCTCGGCGAGACACACATCCCCTCAACCAAGACCGAGCCATCCACGATGGTCAAAGAGACAAAGCTCTACGACTCGCTGGGCGTCAGTCCCGGCGCGACCCAGGACGAGATCAAGAAAGCCTACAGGTAAGACTGCCCTCTCTTCCTCCATCCTCTCTTCATCCTCTGGATCATCCGAGGTTTGGACTCTGTTGCGCCTCAAGCCTCCTCGCCTCATCAACTTACCCCTCTGACCCGACGTCGCTCCACCGTCAGAAGCGCGATCGCGAGCTAACCCCTCACTTAGAAAAGCTGCCCTCAAATGGCACCCCGACAAGAACAAGGACAACCCGGACGCGGGCGAAAAGTTTAAAGAGTGCTCGCAGGCCTACGAGATTCTTTCCGACGCCGAGAAGCGCAAGGTCTACGACCAATACGGCCTCGAGTTCCTCCTGCGCGGCGGCACAGCCCCGCCTCCCGATGCCAGCGCCAGCCCCAACCCCTTTGCCAGCGGTGGCGGCGGCATTCCCGAAGGTTTTGCCTCGTTCTTCACGGGCGGCGGCGCACCGAATGCCGGCAATGCCCGGTTCTCGTACGGATTTAACTTTACCGACCCGAACGACCTCTTCCGCAACACATTCCGGGAGGGCGGCGGCGTGAGCGGGGATCCCTTTGAGGACATCTTTGGCGCGCGGGGATCGCCGGGACAAGGTGCGGGTCGCCGGGGGATGCGAGGATCGTTTAGCGAGAGCACACGGGCCGCCCGCCAGGCGACACCCGAAGTCACGACGGTCGAGCGGCCGCTGCCGCTGTCGCTGGAGGATCTCTACAACGGCGTGACCAAGAAGATGAAGATCAAGCGAAAGATGTTTGACGACAACGGCAAGAGGACCACCACGGACACCGTGCTTGAGGTGCCCATCAAGCCGGGTCTCAAGAAGGCCAGCAAGATCCGGTTCAAGGGGGTGGGAGACCAAGAGGAGGGCGGCCAACAGGACTTGGTGTTTATCGTCGAGGAGGTGAGTGGACGTGTTCCCCAAAAGGAAGATAGTTGGCACTGACATCAACACCAGAAACCACATCCCCTGTACACGCGAGATGGTGACGACCTCGTCCACACCGTCGACTTGGAGCTGAAGGAAGCCCTGACAGGGTGGAAGCGGACCGTCACGACGATTGACGGGAAGAACCTGGTCGTGGAGAAGACGGGCCCGACACAACCCGGCAGCTCCGACTCGTATCCCGGCCTCGGCATGCCTATCTCGAAGAAGCCGGGCCAACGCGGCAGCTTTGTGGTCAAGTACAACGTCAAGTTCCCGACCACGCTGACGACGGCGCAGAAGCAAAAGCTCCGCGAGATTTTGTAAACGTAGGCCTGGTCTCCTTTTCGCCTTCTATAGGTACATACATCACGGGAGGCGTTTGGGGGTTTGCATTTCCGACGGTTAGGCCATGGGGCCGTCTTTATGGGGAATGAGGTTGGGGGTTGGGGTATGAGCATTGGAGTTGTTACCGTGGGAGTTTTTTTTATCTGAGATTGCTCCCCTCCCATTGAGGTACATTGATAGTTGGTAGAGTAAGATGATTGAGACCATGTCTGGTGTGACCTGATGGTGGTGAGGAGAGAACCAGGGTGTGCTCAATGATATAGATTTCGGTCGTCCCATGTCCCATGTGTTTGTAGTCTTGAACAATGCATTGGATGTCGTGTCGACATCCAGAACACTGTCGCAGCACGAATCCGCAGATGAATCCCATCCTATTTGATTTTCCCATCCTCCACCCACCTCCACCCGTCCAACCCCCTGAAATCGGCGGAAGCGATGTTCACGACTTACGTCCCCCAGGTCTACCCACAGTCAGGGCACAAGAACTAACATTTAAAATACTGCACGAAAGACAGACTAAAATCACAAACAAAGACAACTAGTATAGTGGTCAGTACACTTCGTTGTGGCTCATGTCCCCAGACATTGAGACATCCCCGAAGAAACAAACCCAGGTTCGATTCCTGGGTTGCCCACAATCCACCTCCCCTTCTAGGGGAACAAGAGTGTATTTTTGCTCCCACTCCTTTAACGTACCCTTCCCACACCCCGATATTCATGCCCTCTCGGACTCTCAGGAAGCATATCACTAAGCAAGGCAGCGCGGCCGAGCGGTCCAAGGCGCCATGTCAGGGAGTTACATCCTTAATCACATATCGGCTCGATCTCCATCGTATGATGGGGTTGGGAAGGGTCCCGTGGCCCGAAAGGGCGTGAGTTTGAATCTCACCATTGTCAAGTGTACTTTTTGGAGGGTTGATGGACTGGAAGGGAATTGCTTTGTGGTGGTGTGGGATTTGGGTGGGGGTGGTGTTGTTCGGCTTGATGAGGAGGGGCTGGAGGTTGGTCCTGTAGAGGTATAATTTTTTGGGGGATGCTATGGTAAAGAATATAGGGGATTTATGATCCCAGATGATCTTTGCGACTCCAATATGGTCTTGAATACTATTCTAGATCATAATGCATCTGAAGAGGTCGAGATGAATTTGATGATGGAAGATTGGGGAATTGGAGTCGCCGAGACAAGGGTCCAATGCAGGGGTCCCGCTTCGGCCAACCAGCGGCACCCTTGTCGCCGCCAGCGGGTGATGGCGAGGTTTGGCGGGCAGCAGTGGTACAGCGCTTGTCCATCCTCCACCAACAACAGCCCTCACCAGCACGACACCACCAAACATCTCGACAAACAGAGCGTAAAATACAGCGATCAAGTCGACACGACATAGCCACAGCTCACACAGCTTCATGATAAGGAAACGGCGCGCAGCCGCCTGAATATCCGCCGCCATCCAAACGATTGACAGTGCCCATTGCCCCTCCAAACCACGACGACAAGTCACGAAAAACCACCACGATGAACGCCCTATGGAACCATGGCCTCCTTGGCACGGGCGGCGACACACCCACAACCCCGACCGACATCGCCGACCTCGCCGCCCCGAGCCCCGTCGAGCCCTTCAGCCCAGCCTACGAAGACCCCGACGCCCCCCAGCCCGCTCCCGCTCGACCACCCCTCTTGCGAGAGCTGTCCCAGCCTCCACCGCCAGAGCAGCAGCCACAACAACCCCGGCAACAGCAGCAGCAACAGCAACAACCATTCCAACCCGCCGCCCCCCCCGCCCCCTCCTCGTCACCACACCCTTACGCACCGCCTTCCCCCGCCGCCAACGCGCCCGGCCAGCAGCAACAGCAGCAACAGCAGCAACAAGGCCAAGGCCAAGCCCCCCAGGACTCCCTCTCCCTCGCCCAGCTCCGGCGCATCGTCTCCGAGTTCCCGCGCACCGAGCCCATCGCCTACGACTATGTCTACACGGACATGGGCCCCGTCGAAGAGGAGGTGGACGAGTGGTTCATGTACAACTTTTGGCAGTGGGTGCGGCTGAACGCCGCGGACCGCGCCTTTCACGGCGCATGGGGCCGGCTTGCGCAGCAGCAGCAAGGCGAGGCGGACCAGTGGGAGGGTATGGATGCCGCGGCGCGGGAGGCGTTCGTCAAGACGCTGCTGGGGGCGCTGACGTCGCAGGACAAGTCGGCCAAGGTGGAGGCCGTGGGGTCGCTGGTGTATCTCGTGCTGGGGCGGTGGACGGAGTCGCTACGGGGCGCGTCGGTGACGGTGCCGAGTGGGAGGGCGGCGGGGAAGATGAGGTCGGCCGCGACCAAGGTGCAGCTCTTGGCGATGAGGGAGGGGGCCAAGGTGCTGGCCGAGTGTGGGGGGTTGCCGGCGGTGTGGGCGGCGCTGAAGGACTCATTTGAGTTTTTTTGGTATGTCGATTGGGATGTGTGGTGGGAGTGGGTGTGTGCTGACTTGATGCAGGTCGGAGGAAGTTCCGCAGAACTTGACCCAGGCGGTGGTCGAGGAGCTCATACACTTGATGACCATCATGTATATGGTGATACAGCAGACACTGGACGATCCGGAAGGGATGGCGTCGGTTCGGGAGGGGATTCTCGCCCTGAACCCGAATCTGCTGCATTTTATGCTTCAGGCGACGTCAAGGTTGAGGTGGGATGAGACTTGCATTCCGCCATGGATTCATGTAAGTGATTTGTTCCTGGGGTAGAGGGCTCGAGCTGATATGCGAAGCACCAAATCTTTCTCTTGTTCTGGAAGTCGCTACTTCTGGTCTTTGGAGGGTCAAAGGAGGTTGAGGAGGCCAAAAAGGCTACGAGCGAGATCCAACATGGCGAGGGCGACAAAAAGGAGTTGATCAGAGCGTCTCTTCTGGACTACCACGTCTTCCGACAGGAGATCACCTCCAAGTACCCAGCCTACATCCCTCCTCAGCCGCCAATTCCGCTAGAGCCCGAGCAGTCGTCCATCATCCCCCCGTTGCACAACTACCCATCGAGGACCAACGGCCAGAACGGCATCCTTCCAGGCCCTTCTGGGCAAAGCGGAGGAGCATCGATTCTTCACCAGCCCGTCCACATCGCGACACCGGCCCCATCACCCCCACCGAGTCCTGCTGTTGGAAAGGGTGGAAAGAAGCAGAATTACCAAACGAACCAGAACTTTCCCTTTATGTACCCCCCGCTTGATGCTACTAGCAACAGCGCCGGCGGCAAAGGTGGGGCAGGGTTACAGGATATCCTGGTGGGGAGGAAGTGGGAAGGGAGTGATGTGCCCTCATCCATCCTCGAGGCCGCCGAGCTGTTCTCCAGGAGAGTCAAGATGACGAGGGCGACGCGGCAGCTCTGGGACGAGAGCGAGAGGTTTCTCAAGTTTGAGCGCGGCTGGGAGGGACCCGATGATGACGTTATCGGCGAACTCGACCTCTCGTCGTTGTCGCTCGAGGACAAGAAGGAGCTGGGTCTGGTGAAGCCAGACGCCGAGGAGGAGCACAAAGCAAAGGAACCTGAGATCGACTACGGGCCTCGCGGTGTCCCGCCGGATATAAAGCAGAGACTTGATGCCGTGGAGGACTTTTACGTACGTCTCCTGAATCGAATGTCTCTGTTGTTTACTGACAGCTTTGCAGAAAGAATCGTTGCCACATCTCCAGTCGCTGGTCATTGTGTTGCTCAAGGCCATCATGGCGATTGCTACCAACATGATGACGCCGCCCAACGGACAGGCGCCTGGCGCTGCGCCTCAGAACGGCGCCCGCCCCAACGGCCAGCCCGGTCAGCCGCAACACAACGGGACGAATGGGCCAGCCAAGGCGGATATTGGGTCTCCGACAGAGTCGGACGTAGACGAAGCGAGAAGTCGGGAGATCGCCGCCAAGGCCGTGACGGGCATCATGGTCCTCTTGCTCAAGTGGTTCAAGCTGTCTCGTAAGTGCCTTCTTTTACTCTCTGATGGACCATGCTGACGGTTTCTAGATGTCCTCAAATTTGAGTACATGACACAGCTGTTGCTCGACTCCAACTATCTGCCCTTGGTGCTCAAGCTCTTTGCACTTCATGACATCCAGCAGGTCGTTGAGAGCAGGACGGACAGAATCGAGCAGAGGTGGGTTTCAGTGATGCTTGTATGCAGTGCGGTTCTGACTGTGGTAGCTTTTTCTACTTTTGCGGCTCCCGTGCGGGCATCATTTCCACCCAGGGCATCCCCAACCCAACCGCCACCGAGTTTGAGGAGGACGAAAGCGAAGACGACGCCGCACCACCGCCCATCAAGCGGGGGCGATCCCCGTCCAATCAGGAGGCTACCACCGCCACCGCCGCCAACCTGCCGCCCAGCACCTCCCCCCCGACCACGCAGCGGCCAGAGGTGGACGAGATGGGCTACCCCGTCAACCCGATGCCCAAGGAGCCCATCACGGACTTTTCGCGGCGCAACTTCTTTGCGCTCATCAACTACCTGCGCGTGATGCAAAAGATCTGCAAGCACAAGGCGCACCGCAACCTGCTCATGATGAACTACAAGAGCTCGGGAATTCTGCGCAAGTCGCTCAAGGTGCCCCAGCAAGAGCTGCGGCTGTACACGCTCAAGCTCTTCAAGAACCAGGTGCCGTACTGCGGGCGCAAGTGGCGGCAGAGCAACATGCGCGTCATCACGGCCGTCTACCTGCACTGCCGCCCCGAGCTGCGGGATGAGTGGCTCGCGGGGAGCTATCTGGATGTTGACGTGGAGGCGTCGCTGCCCCTCGAGCAAGCGCTACGTAGTTTGACGCATTGGTTCAACATGCGGCGGTACCCGGACAAGATGGCGGCCGAGGTAAGGCAGGCGCTGCGCGAGGAGCAGGACTTTTTTGTCCGCGAGCTCGACAAGGTGGATCTGAACTGGGCCGAGGTCGAGGGGGATGATGCGTCGGTGAGGTTGGACTGGGAGCATGATTGGCAGCAAGGGTGGTGAAGATAGGGGTAAGCGGCATGGGTGGGATTTGTGTATTTGCCAGGAGTCCGCATGGGGTTCTAGACCACGAGCTTGTTTTGGACGTCTCGGGAATGGGAATGATACCTCTTGTAGACGTCAGGAACACTGCAACAGACAAAATCCAATGTTGACAGCGCTATATGTATTCTTTGGCAGTGGATTTTGTTTCTGCCGGGTATTATATGCTCCACTAGACTCTCCATGAGACAAAAGCAAAGACGCCATCCCATCCAGGACTCCTGTTCCAAAATAAAACGTTAAACCCGATCATACACCCCATCGCCGTACCTGTAGTTTGCAGGCGGGAACCTTGCCAGGGGCACCTCCTCCATCCTGTCCCCGCCATACCCAAGATCACCACCCCCGACGTATGCTTGCCGCCCATGCCCATAGCCATTCCCATGCCCTTCCACGTCACTGACAACCCCATACTCGGCACCCTCCCCCCGTCCATACCCGGCACCCTCCCGCCCATACCCATTCCCACCCCCCCGCCTCATCCCACCCCACCCCTCCTGCTCGCCCATCTCCAGCCTGTCCTCCTCCGCCGCCTCACTCCTCCTCACGTCCTCGGGCAGCGCATGCCCCGGCAACGCATCCGGATTCGGCGCCAACGGCACCACCGCCTCACCCTTCCCCCTCCTCCCCGTCAACCAC